TCAATGTCATATTGTGAAAATAACAGAATAGAAATTTGTTTTTTTTTTGTGTTAAGAAAGAATTTAACATCACTTATTCTAATCATGTCTATTTCTTCCAGCAACCATTTTGACATACACGCATCCAACGATGTTGACACAATAAGTATGAATACAGATAATCAACAAACAAAAATTGATATAACCAATATTATAACTGAATGTAATAAGACATGTAAAAGTCCATTAACAAAATCTAAAGTTCAAATGTCACGTTCTCATTCGCCTACACTTGAACTGCTAGCAGCTGTACAAACTAAACTTGATAATTATATTACTTCTGTATCTAATACTATTTCAATACCTACAGTACATGAAGCATCATCTTCACCAATGCATGAAGAACAACAACCAACAATACATACACGTACATCATCATCACCATCATCATTATTATTACAAAAGCAGATTAAATCTCAAAAAAATCTTAGCATACAACCACTTGATAAAGTAACTTATGAAGAAACAAGAACAGATAATGGTAATTTTAAACAAAAATGTTCAGTAGAAATTTGGTTACCTAATGCATGTGCTGATAATGATGAGGAAAATACAAGTCGAACGGTATCACGAAATTCTACTTCAATTGAAAAAATATCTCAACCAATACCTGTTGAAAGTCCTCGATCGGGTATAAATGTTTTACCATCAACTGCAATAAATAATCAAATAAAACCTTCTGATGAAATCTCTTTAAAAAATTCTGAAATTACTATTATACCTCATGTTCAAAATAATGAAGATTATTTAATAGATCGACCTGAAAAAAGACCACGTTCAAGTAAAACTAATAGTACAGCAAAATCAAATAATAGTAGGTCAATGAAAAATATTAAACGATCATATGTTCATCGTGCAGCATCAACATCGTCGTCAAATAAAGAGATATTTCATTATGAAATAACAGAAATACCTACAACAACAAGAAATTTCTTTCCTAATTTAAGCCAAACTTATTCTCCTCATCAATTAAAAGAAAACATCGGATCTAATAATAGTTCTATAAGACAATATCCAAAGAGAAAAATAATACCAACAAAACAACAATTTGAACAAACACATTATCCTTTAAAATATAATGTACATAATCCAAATGGTAAATATACATATCTATAAGAAATAAAAATTTCTTTGATTTTTCTCGTCTATTTCAGATTCAACATTAAATACTTCTTTTAATCATTCAAAAGTTTCTGTGAAAATACTTCTTGGTAATACTACACCCAATCGATCAACTGGCATGAATAATATTATTAGCGCAAGATTATCTCATCATCGTTTACCAAATCATAAATCATCTGGCTCTGATATTTTACCGCAAACATATTTATCTCCAATGATTGAAAATTATCGAACTTCAACAACATCAAAGTTTATTGATCCATTACCCATAATTACTGCAGGAAAGTCTAATGATCTGTTTCATTCTACACAGCGTAATATTTCCCCACGTTTACCTATTCGACGAGACAGTCTAGGAAATGTTTCAAATTCATCAAATCTTTTACAATATAGAAATCATGGAATCGAACATATTTCAAAACGTATATCACCATTACAAATTTTTCGTTCTGAACATCAGCCGTCTACTCAATCTCATCTTCAGTTAGTTCAAGATCAAACTTCTAAACATAAACACCTTGTTCACTTAAAATACAGTAAAGGTGAAAATACAAATTGTAATTATCTTATACCTAAATAAGTTTTATTTATTTTTTTCGTACTATACGAATTTGTTTGTCCTATTATTTTTTTCAATCATTTTTTTTTAATGCATGTATAACAAGAAATTATTATTTACATGTATGTCAAGAACTAATCAGATATAGAAATAATAACCAAAAGAATATTAATAACAACAACAACAACAAAACAGTAATAAGAATTATTGAGGTATTTTACGTTGACGTTTAGGTGTTAGAGATTTTGATAGGCCTTGACGTCGAAGATTTTTTGTTGATGATGAATCAGTACGAACAGATGATGATACTGAAGATGTTCGAGTGATGGAAGAAGAAGAATTTATTGTATTAGTATCATTATTATGACAATATACATTCGATAAATTATCAAATTCTTTAGTTTTCCATGGAATAAATGCATCGTTCATAGACTAAAATTTGAAAAATAAATTAAATCGATTCATTAGATTTTCTTACTGTAAATAATTCCATAGCATAATTTATCATATATTGAGTATGTTTATGAATTTCAACATCTCGATGATACATAGATAATGCATTAGTAAACATTAATAACACATCACGTTCAAATAAAAGAAAACTGTCATCATAATCTCCATTATTCATACGTTCACGTATTTCAGGTATATCTAATGGTTTTTTAATACGATCATAATAGTCATCTGATAGTTTAAATGATTTAAGTGATTTAGCAAAATCATAACCATATCTAAATAATAAAATATAACTATGCATATCATTAATCAATATAGAAAAATCTTATTTTTAGGTTGATAGATTCTCAAAATCTCTCAAGTATGATGATACTTCAATAGGCTGGAGCATTTCCTATCAATCTACATGCCTGACAAATTGATAAGTATAATAGTTTTAAAGAAGATATTATATTTTGAAATGAATAGTAATTAAAAATTTTATTACTTCGCTGTTTTTAAATTGTTCAGAATAATATTCATTGATTTACGAGAATTATTTGATGAAGAACTTGTTGTCAAACTAGAAAAAGATGGTTTTATTTACTTTTCAGAAAACAAATTTTATGTTTAATACCGTGATTGTCTACGTATATTTTTCCAAGCTATGGAATCATCATTTTCATATGTTTCTGAACATGAAGCTATATTCGATGCAATACTTTGCTGATCAATATTATTTGTAGGAATTTCAGGAGTATTAGTATTCGAAATTGATTCATCAACAATAAACATAGCATTATCATTTGGTACTGTTACATCAGTAATATCAGCTGGAACTGGTTCAGGAATTTGTTCTGCATCCATTCGAGCTACTTCATCGTCGTCAACAGCAATACGAGTTGGTGTTGTTGTAATGAAATCAATTTCGTTAGGCATATGATGATAATTGTTTTGTATCGATTGTATTTGATCATTATCTGATATAATATAATCATTTGAACCATTTATACTTCTATTAACTTGAAAACTTGATGATATTGGCTGATCACTATTACTAAATATAAGATATTCTTTTTATGAAAAACAAGGAATAGGAAAAGATAAATATACCTTGATCTTGCTTGTTCGTCACCTGATAATCGAGTATTGGATGTTGATTGATTGTTAATGCTTCCAGTATTCGCATTTTCATATAAATCTCTATCATTTGAATCCGATATTTCTGTAGTCATTGGTTGCATGTTGGATGATTGATTTGTATCCATCTGTTCATCAGATACAAATGTAGATTCATCTTGATCATTCATTAGATTTGACGAAGCT